TTTTTTTTTTTAAGTGTGCCACTGTTTCAAAAGTGTATATCCAAATAAATAAATAAATAAATAAATTATTTATTGTCTGTATGTAATTCTGATTAATTTATTTATGGACGTTTAGACTTTATGTCAATTATTGAATATATATATATATATATAGATATATATATATATAGTATTATATCAGATTTTAATTGTTATTAGTTATTGTTATATTATTATCATTATTATTATTATTATTATTATTAATATTATTTTTAATATTACAATACATCAATCTCCAATTGATAATGTTAGGCCCAGACTCTATATTATAAACAAGTTTATATTAAATATTGTACTAAGCAGCATTTTAAAGTCAAATAGGCTATATATTTCTTAACAGGTAACAACTTGAACAGTGCAGGGACTAAATGCTTAACAAATTTTTGTTTGTGTTTTATAAGAATTAAAACAATACATCAATTGATGCGGAAAAATCGCTAAATGGCTTTGATAAGATAAAATAAATTTTAATCTACAACTTTTGGTATTTTAGTATGGTACCCAGACTTTAGAAAGAACAACTGTTTTATATATTTTTGAAACATTTTATTTTGAGTTTTTTTATCATGTTTAAATAAAGATATTATTAACATTATAATATAGTTTCATATGTCCAGAACTGTTTAAATACAACACAGATAGCCAAATGAAAGAAATATAATATGTGTATCAAAATTAGAAAAATCTGAAGACAATTGACCAAAGAGCAAACGTTCAACTGTACATTTTCATTGCTTGTTAATTAGTACAGAAGGCAGTAGGGTGTGGTAGAACACTGTATATGCAATTAAATGGAAACTAAACCATAGATGCCACTTTTTAAGTGCTATCATTTATGATATCAATAAAACTTAGTATACTTAATAAAGTTATTTTTTAAATATTTTTAAATATGTATATTCAAGGAACTAAGATACTAAAGTGGAGTAAGACAATAGTATTGATAATGATAGTATTAATAATATCAATATTTTACTCTTTTACTTTCAATATGATAGTATTTATATCGTTCAATATGTTATGGCTTTTTATGCGCTTTACAATGTCATTTCCAGTCAAGACAGAAAAAAATTGTTTGGCAAAAAACTGGGGAACAGTCAACGAGATACAAAAACTGGAGGAAAAATGGGCGTAAGCACCCATTTTCCCATCTTTTTCCCCCAGTTATTAAATATTAAAAAACCTGTACCTCGTTAACTGTTCCCGAGTTTGTCGTCAAACAACTATTTTCTGTCTTAGAAAAATCAGTTTCTACATACAATATATCAGAAAAATTGTTTCCTCTGGAGCCAGACTTTATGTTTGTAGATGCTAAAAATGAAAAAAAAAATAAAAACTCAAAAATAGCCAAAATACAGTAGGATCGACAGCACAGATACCAACAAGAAAATGATATCCTTCACCATCTGTTTATGGTGCAAACTATACAGCTTGTATTGGTTTAGATATCAATAACAAACATAACCAGCCTAAACAAATTCATCGCCTTGATGTCTGCGAAATGTATTGCAATTATTACCATGCATTATTGTGATTATTCTTTTATTCATCACATTTGAATACAATAAGCCTATCATATACCAACATATACATAATGAGCAATATTTGTTTAATATCTCCTTATATATATATATATATATATATATATTTGTTGTTGATATTGTATAAATGGTGACTATGATGACCCCAGGATTTGTCCGATGATGGAGACTAAGTAATGGATAGGACAATTTCTAGTGGGGTCCAGGGTTGAAGCCCATTGCTGCCTAAAAAATCTAGGGTCTTGTTTGAATTTGGGGGGGGGGGCCCTTGGCCTGTCCTAGGGCTTAAGTGCCCTAGGACCTTCTGCTGGTGCTGCCATGAGTAGTGATGGAAGGGATCAGTATATAGGCCTAGTTGATAGAAAATTCAAGTTTGAAGTCACTATCAAGGCACATTTTAAACTATTATTGTTTATTATTACAATTGAAGAGTGTACAGATTCTTTTACATATTGAAAATCAAGTTCCCTATCATCTTGGCATTTAGAACTAGAATTTAGGAGTGCAATATCAAATTGAGTATATGATTAATGTATTTAAATTTATGAATGTTTATATTAAATTTACTATAGGCTGATTGCTATATGTGGTCTTAGCTCTTACTCAGGTACTGTAATCTTCATGTGGATACCACAGTATCAGTTAGCTGGCTATGTTTTATCAGCCTGAGAGGAGGAGGCCGTATTTTTTATATCAATCAATAAAACGTGGCTTTGATTATTTCCTGTTTTAGAATTTTACTTCTAAAAAGTTTAAACCACATTCAAATATATGACCCATATTTAAAATCAATAATGAATCTTGCTTTAAAAAAACGGAAGTAAAAACTTCATTTTCATGAGTAATTATCACAATAATTGACGTGTGAATGTGTGCGGCAAAAAATGATGTTCATAACACATAACAAATATGCACACATCAGAGCTCAAAGCCAATGTTGCTATGTGGAGGCTAGTGTTTTTAATACTTGATGCGGCCTAAATATTTAAGACTTATTAGCAATAGGGTTGAATATAGTGATAAGCTGACTATTTACCTGTTTAAGTACATGCTATAGCAGTTCTCCGTATTATTCACTTGAGGCCTTTGCATCCAAAGAAATATACATTCCAAACATATAGGGGTGTTGATAATTTTCCTGGTGCCTCTTCTAAAGTCTGTGGTACTGTGATATATTGTTTAAAAAATACTGTATTTAAAGACAGAATAATTATAAGTCAGTGGTGTATCTAAAAGTCTTGACATAGGGGTGGGGGAATTGAAGGGGGCAGGAAGGTGAAGTGGGGACTAGATTAATTAATTAATTAATTGAGCAGTAGCTATAGCTTTTAAATTAAGGTGATTTCTACATACTTGAGCATGATTGAATTGCTTCAAGAGTTTGTTTGGGGCGTGCACCCTCACCTAGAGTTAGGAAAAATAAAAAAATATTTGTTTTTAGCGTCACCACCCCCACCTGAATTTTCAATTTTTTGTAGCTTTCGCAATCCCAGTTGTGCCTAAGCATGGCTTATAGTAGCATCTAATTCAACACATATTCATAGATTACAGATATTGTACATTAATTTTAAAAAAAAAATTTATTTGACCTTAATATAATAATAATAATGAATTTGTACAATATGGAGAAACATAGAATAAAAAAGGGGCAATGTGCAATGCGCTATATAAATATAACATTATTAGTATTAATTAGATTATAAACAAAAATAATGACATTTGTACAATATATTAAAATATTCAGGCTGTTTATGCAAAAAAAAATTCATACGTTTATTTAATTTATTTATAATTCACTCGTAATTAATGAAATCTATGGGAAGATTGTGCAATTTTGGTCAGTGATAAAAAACAGAAAATTGAATTCAATATCTGGATGGCTTAATTTGTGTATTTAAATTGAAAGAATTAAAAAATAATTCGTCAATTATCAGTCTTGAAAAAATCCACAAGCTTGGCTCATGGCTTGATAAACTCAAGGTAGATAAAAATACATGTATTAATCTTTTGTATACAAGCCTTAAATTGGCTGGTAATCTATTTAATAACTTTGGTAGTAAAGCATCAGTGAAAACCAAATTGCTTTGATCTGTATATTGATGTATTGTATAGTCTTTACTACGGTAAATATGGTACTGCTATTTTAGAATCCAACTACTGTGGTAAAATTGAAATAATCTCAAAACACACGAGGGCACTCCAACTCTCAGGATCTGCCTGGAATTAGGTTGCTCTAAAATGAATATACTGTAAAAAAAATGTTATGAAAAGTAGAAAAATTAAAATATTGATTTAATTAAAGATATAATCTTCTTTTAAGTTATATTTTCTGTGCTTGCTGGGCACTTTACATAAATGACATAAAATAAAATTAGAGAAAGAAACTAAAATCATACAATATTGTAACACTATCCAGGATATGAATAATCAAATATAAAGGTTCAAAGTTTATCTCACAGTATTGCAATTGCACCAAAATGCTGAATTAATTAAATTAAAACTGATGAAAGACACAACCCAAACACTGCCACTAAGATATGTGCCATAAACAGCAATTAGATAAAATATATATATAGCAACTAAACAATTCCTGTGCTTAACAACCCATTACAAGCAAAATTAATTTTGGTTTTAGAACTGTGGGCCAACATTATATGTTTGCATCCTGTTCGGCAAGCATTAGATAAAAATATGTACAGGGGCAAACATAATTTCTGTGCTTTTACACTTAACAAGGAATTGAATTAGCAAATACACTTCAATTTAATGAGTCCTTTTTAGTTTTGTACTACACCAAAGAATTAGTGAGTTTTTTTTCTTTGTCAATCCGCTGCAACTAATTGCTGTTGATGGCTTTTAAGATAATAAATAATATTGTGTATGTTGCAGTGTTGTTGGACTACGTTAAGAAGCCTTGTTTAAAATTATGTGCTTTCATGTTGGAAGCACACAAGTACTGCTTTTAGCTCTGTATCACATCTTAAAGAAAATATATTGCAGCCAATCCCAGTGTTGGTTCCGAGGTACTCGGTGGGGAAATTGACCAAGAGTTTTGGGTCCTGGTACATGTGGTCCAGTGTATTGATGTTACTAACCTTACTGATGCTATTGAGTTCCAACTATTGTCACCACAATCACGACTATCCAGACATTTCAGGAGTGGGTGGGGGTGGGGAGTCCAGAAAAAAAGGGGCATGCACTTCGGTATATTGTTTGAAACGACGTACAGAACATTGAGCCGACTGTTTTCTTTATATTTTCCAAACCCTCACCTGTCTTGTCACCCTTTGTATAATGAAAATTAAAATTTAAAAATATTACATTTTTAAAATTTATCCTCAAATGAACACAACTGTAGTAGAAGACATACCCTTCCATCAATACATACAGCCTGATTGTTAATGTAGCTGTACAGTGTCATATTTTTCTGGATCCAGAAATTGGAAATAGAGGGGCCCGGGGAAGGACTTTCACCTCAGCCCCACCATGGTTGGGCTGAGGTAAGAAAATTTATGAATATGATACATCTAGATGGAATGACCCTTTACCAACATCTGTATAAACATCTGTATAAAATGTTTTTCCTTGCTAACAAAGGGTACTCTAAAATTTGAGAGGGGGGGGGGGTGGCGTCTGAACGTCGCCAACCCCAACTCTGGATCTGCCCCCCTTGCTACCACCATCATGACCTGTAGCACCAAAAGGGGAGACAACCAGGGCATTTAGACATACTACCACATAACCCTGTTAGAGCCCTTTAGCGGCCCTGATAATATCATTATCATCACCACCATCATAGATTCAGGAGGCTTTCCAGACTCCCTCGCTTGCATTCTACCACTACCACATAACTATGTATCGGAGCCAGTTAGCAGCCCTGATAATTACTATCGTAATTATTATCATCATGCACCCTCATCGAAATCATCATCACCGCCATCATAGAATTTGGAGACTTTCCAGACCCTCCCTTGCACTCCCCCCACTACCACTTAACTCCATCGGAGCCCCTTAGCAGCCCTGATAATATCATCTTCATCATTATCATCACCTTCATCAAGATCACCACAGCTTTCACCACCATTATTATCAACACCACCCTAACAATCATTGTTATTATTTCATTATTTTTTACTGATATCAAAATTAAAAGAGTTCTGATTTTTGGTCTGAAATTTTCTTCCCATGCATTACTAGTTAATTGTGTTGACAGCATAAAAAACAATCACAATGACACATCACAAGCTGTAATTATATACTTTATTGTTACTGTAAACTCTAGATATAAATGGAATGATCTACAGTATATCTACAGTAAATACCTGTAGTTATTAAACAAATACATAAACAATAACAGTGCTAGAATAGGAACATGGCGTTATAATTGTATCAAGCGTTTACGCTTCAATGAAGTTTACCTTTATCCAAGTACAGTATGAAGAAATGTGTGTCTGGTGGGATTTGAACCTGCACACAATGGTGACGGTACCTTTGCAACAACAGAAGTAAGTTTTGTTCTGCATTTACTTAACGTCTTAATGAATTTTCATTGTTTATTGCTCCTATATATATATTTTATTGTATTTTTCTTTGTGGTGTATTGGTAGTTAAACTCGAAGAACTAGGCGGAGAGAAAACTACAGCAACATCAAACAGCAAACACCAAGAATGCTGTTTTAATATCTGTTGGTGTGATGATCCTTAAGCCACCCTAATAATTTTTACTGTAAACATTTTTTTTGTACAGTACTACTTTTAGATTTGATAAGTAAATTGTATAAAGAATGTCTGGAAGCAAAGTTATGACCATTTGAATAATTGTCATCTTATCAACTTTCTTAAATCAATTTTTGAGAAAATTGCCTTTACTTTTGGCAGGTTTCTATTCATTTTTCACTAACTCCCATCTGAAAAATGTCTAAATTTTACCTTTTACAGTTGGAATTTTGAACTCAAACTTCAGGAATAGTAAGATTAATAGTTATACTTTATTTATTACATAAAAACCCAATTTACACAAAATTCACATTCTACGCCCTATTCTGGCTGTTGAGGCTTATTTCTCAATACAGCACGGTGCGAGTTTACAGCCCTTTTACGATCTTGGGTCACAAATTTCTTTAAAGTAAATTATTAAAAATTCCTAAAAAAGTACAAAAATATACCTTTCTTTTTGTGCTGTTAATTTCAGTGAAATCCTTTACAAAACATAGAAAATGCTTGCTCTAAATTCTTTCAATTATTGGGTGTTCAAGCAAGTTTAATTATAGAACATACAGTATTTTTATGCAGGTTTCATATCGCATGTTTTAATCTAGGAAACTTACCTATACTTAAAATATATTTAAAAAGATTGTCAGGTAATAGCTTTAACTCTGATTTTCCTCATTTTCTGTTGCCTTTCTATGGCAGTCTTCGTCACTCCAGCAGGCAAACTTAGCTTGAAATGACTCGGGTAGTATCATTAGTACAAATCCTCCAACAATTAGTACAGTGCCGCCAATTTTCCAAAGTCCAAATGGATCATCTCTAAAAAGTAAATCAGCCACTAGAAAAAAAAATAGTAATAATAAAATATTGTACTGTATAAAATAGTAACAGTACTATAATAATAATAATACAGTAATAATAAGTTATCATTACGGAATATCTACATTATAGAAATGAAGATAACAACAATAATAATAAGGTAATGATAACAATCCACCATGTACATGTATTTATGTGCTATACATGTTTTTCAACCATATTAGAAACTACAGTAGACACCAATTAGAGCTATGGTAAATGTACTGGGATTTGTTATAGGACACCAAGGGCTTAGCCAGCTGTCTTTTAGACAGCCAACAATTATTTCGGACGGCCACTTTTTTTCTGTGACGGCTTGGACGGTTTGGCCTACTCAGCCCGGCCCAGCCTTGTTGGCCCGGTCTACCTTTAGCAAATTCTTTATATTATTCAAATCTATCAAATGTTGTATCAAACTACAACATATTTTGGACGGCTTCGTTTTTCTGGCTAAACTCCTGTAGGACACAAACATTGCTTTGAGGAATATGATTCTAAATTAGCCAAAGGCCTTTAACTTCATAAGACTCATACCATGCAGACTTTAAACTAAAAAAAAAAAATTAATAATAATATTAATAATTACTCATTTAAAACTATCAAACAAATTATCATCTTTCAGTAAGAGAGACACTAATCCATATTTACTACAGGTTTGTCTTCATGTTCAGTTTTAGTACATCAAACAACTAAATTTCCTGTTGCCTTGTGATGATGAAAATTAAGTTCAATATCAGATATTAACTACAAAAACACGCTTAAAAATTGATTACCAGCCAATTTAAGTGGCTATGCAAAGAAGATAAGAAAGATATAATTATTCATGAATTTTATATTTGGCAACGAAAGTTATTAACTTGGATTAATCAATTTACAAAGTATGCAATCAAAATACTGAATTTATTATTATTAATTCAACAGTCAGTATTATAGCATTTTTTTTCATTATTCATGGCTCTTGGTGTAGTAATTCCTATATAGCTAAAATCAGCTGAACTGTGATGATGTGCAAGAGTGATGTCTATAGCAAAGTAAGGTACTTAAAAATTTAATAAAAACTCAGAGTGCACTACTTCACAGGGCTTCATTGCCATACACAGGGGTCACACATCCCTGATAGCTTGAGCAGCAAAACTCATGAAGTGAAGTACTGATGGAGGAATATGCAGGACTGCTCCAAGAGATAGGTGGTTCCATATGGCCAAACTTATACACCGTTTTCTCCAAATTTGAAATAAAAATTTCCGATAACCTGGCAACAACCACTTGGGGGACTTCAAAAGGCCTAGCATTTCACTCTACGTAGTATTCTATCATGGAATAATTAAATGATAAAACTAAATTACTAATCAGCACAAATATTTTAAAACGAAAAAGAAAAAAATGTTTGTATTAAAAGGCTAAGTCTTAAAAAGCTTTTTCAATGTTTACATATACAGTAATTAGCATGATCGTAAGTGTTGTCTACTGCTCCTTTAGCAAAGGTCCAGCGGTACTCTATTTGTAACTAGTCAGCTGCTTTAAGGCTAGGCCACTAGAAGTCCCCCAGTGAGTTGTGAGACAGTGGCGGCGCTGTTTCAAAATAATCTCGATAAATAGGTCTATAGATATTTATACTAGGTATGGAGAGATAAGTATACTTTTGTAGTCTTTCTATGTTTCTGCAGTTTCATTGTATAATGTTGACTATATTTTATATTGTCTTTTATTATCTTTTTATGTAAAGTGTATTGAACAGATGTAAATCTGAAAATGTGCTATATTTGTGTATTGAAGTGGATGGTTTGTTCTGGATGATATATATGTTGCTGTCTGGGTGCATGTTGGTGTAGAGATGCTTACCAAGTTTACATTGAAATTTATTTTGGATTTTTCTACTAAAATAGGGTGGAAAAGGATCAGAGCCAACAAAGACGTAGGCTTTAGAATAAGTAGACAGAGGTTCTGCATACTTCTATTTGTGGGGCAAAGAAACTGAATGTATTTATATAAGAGAAAAATAAGTGACAGAACTCTATTCCTCTAGAATGTGACATTTTTACTAGTAAAATCTTTCAAGTGAGTGCCTAAGTAGTGGTGGATCCAGGAATTTAAAAATAAAGGGCCCAGGGAAGGACTTTCACAGATAGAGAGTTCAGCCACTTACAGGAAGCTCCACCATGGCTAAGCCCTGAGATGAGAAAAATTATGATCTTGGCACTAGATGGCCGGTAATGGCACCCTCAGACTTAAATTTGAATATAATTTTCTTTTATTCTCCATTTTTTTCTTAATTTTAGAAAAACTTAGGGGTGGGGACCCCCTTGAATCTGCCACTGCAAATTAAAATAAGACCAATTAAAATAAGGCCCCAATGGAAATAAGTTTTATATATTGTAAAACTTTCTTGGGTTACCCTAGGAATTAATGTCTTATCTTGTTCTTTATCTTTTATCTGTTCTTTGTATTTGTTTTATTTTCAAGTAATCTTGATTTTAATTCCTGAATAAAATGAAATGAAATGAAACTTTCTAATAAAAGAATAATGGGCACATACCTGCATTCATGGGTATACCAACAACAGTACCAAGTGCAATGAACAGTGGATATGTTACTGCTATCCCAAAATTTATCAGAAAATTGAAAACTAAAAAAAATGGAAGATATTTTTGTTTAAACATGCATTGAACAGCTATATGATATTGAATAAAAAAAGTTTACCAACTTTATATAATTTGAGAACTGATTTAGCATACTCAGTTACATTATATTTCATTTCTCGAATCTTGTGCATGTTATAATATGGTAATAGAGAGGTTTCGCATGCGAATGAATACGTGCACGCATACATTTTGCTATCTGTAACAGGTTGAGCCATGCTGTGCTTTTCGGAATGACAGCGAAATTTAAGCGTTCGGCCTTAGGCCTAGCCTAGGGCTTAGGTAATTCCAATTTCTTCTCTCATTATGCTTCCGAAAATCAGATTTTGGCATGTCCTAGAGTTTTGGTATATAAGGATTAGGTAATTGTAAGGGGTAGTCGAATAATACCCCTTCCCTTGTTGCCCAGAATAGTTGGTTATTTCGTGGCCCAAAAATGTCTGGCTACTATAAGCTAGGCCTAGGGAGGCCCTAGCTAGGCCTACAGACACCACCAAGCACCAACATTTTTAATACCCCAAAATGAGATGCATCCTGTCGTAAATTGCTGTCTTGTAAAAAAAAAAAAACAAAGATCATACTAGAAATCCAAAATTTTCCTACATATTTTTCACGTACGTGTAGTGAGCGAGATAGCAACCGGCCTATGACATCATAAATGATGACGTATACGTCAAAATAGACGCATGCGTTCACATGTGAAACCTCCTTAATAATAAGAACAACTCATCTAGAAATCATCCTAAACATGTGCATTACAATGGCCTATAGCTAATGCTGGATGGAGTGATGTACCTGCAACGTCATCACAAATCTAGTTTACAGCGTCTATGTAAGGAGCGCGCACAAGATTTGTAATTTTAAATATGGAATATTATGTAACTGAGTAGATTACAGTACTCTATGTAGATTCTTAAAAATACACATAGTAAAACACACACAAATATAATATGAAGTACCATATATATACTGGGTTTAAATCTCTATAGAGTTTTTAAAAATTATTATACATGCCAGAAACCAACTATTTATCTACTACTTCTACTTTCAGATTTGTCAAGGCCTCTACAGCATCTGGACGGGTGCTCAACCGCCAACAGATGGCATGGTTATCAAATAAATTAATAAAAAAATAACAGCGGCGAATCCAGGATTTGAAAGAGGGGGTTCAAAATTTTTCCAAAAAAACCAAAAATGAAAGTGGGTCCACTTTCCCGACTTTCTTTAGGCCTATACATTGAGAAAAAAAAATTAAAAAGACATAGGCAACATACTATTACATTCCAACAATATTGAGTAGTTGGATACATATAGTCTTTCTCCCATGGATCGATGAACCGATAGGCCTGAAGAATGCACTTTTGTAGGCCTACATAAATTATTAAGCCTACAACGTCAAACCAAAAACAGTGTATATTATAATTTTATTTAATTGAAGGCTACATGGGCTAAGACTAGTTTTTCTGATCTGCCAAATTATGCCTAGGTAGGTTTAGCATGCCTTTTTTAAGCCAGGACCCAGTAGTATTTTGTTACGTTTCTTCACAGAGGGGGGTTCATTTGAACCACCTGAACACCCCCTGGATCCGCCACTGAATAAACATTGGCCATCAACAAAAATGGTTAATGGCACCCAAGATTTTTCAAAAACTTGGGTAAATAAATCTTGCCGGTTTGAAGAGCAAAGGGTTCTTCAATTATTTATTGCCACTGAAAACCATGAGATCATTACGTTTGGAAGCGAGTGATTGTAATAGGTTTCTTGTTTACATTCCGATGGCTATATGTTGCTGGCCAGGACTCTCTTGTTAACTCCCAATAGACATACTTAAAATCAATTAAGTTAAGTTTATGGAGCTGCTGACAGCTCCCTGTCGACCAACAGAAACTTTTGCCTCATGGGCACATATATATTCAAATTGCTTACCAACAGAAAGTGCTGCACTCCCACAAAGGTAGTCCCAAGGCATGGTGTCCCAAGACCACGTCTCTACGTCAGTGTAGTAGAGGATGAGCATGATGGGCCAAAAAAAGACAAAGTCACAAAGACCAAGGACAGTGAGAAACAACGAAACCTGGCCAGAGGTAGCATCTCCAACATACTTCTTGAAAAGCACCTACCAAAAAGGAGTTAATCCAGGATTTTTAAACATAATTAATAAAACAAAGTAGTTAGCACGAGACAAATTAAAAGAAAAATCACTCAAGCTATCATGAAAAATCGCACACATGGTTAACTTTTCATACTATTGTTAAACGTGGCACTTTTTTTATCAACTAAACAAATAATACTTACCATTATATTATAAGACTATGTTTTTGTCATCTTTGGTGACACAATATTTAAAAAAGTACAAAATTAACAGATGTCACTAACCAATCTATGAATTATGGTGGAGTAGCATTACCCTACTAATGTCGTAGTGGTTTGAAATCCCTTATTTTTGTTTTATTTAGACTGGAGTGCATTTCTCTGTTTTGCATATGATATATTGCAAGCCTACTTGTTTTGTCAGTCTTCCTGGAATAAAACATTCTAACATGATCTTTTAAAGATTAGACAGCCCATACTAACCTTGTAAACTGCTGCACCAATAGCTGAACCGATGGAGAGAAAAATACCAAGCGTCGTCGGCCCACCAAACCCATCCGCATACGATATCAGAACAATTCCGCCCGTTGACAAAATGACTGACAAACTCTAAAATGTATATGACACAATGGCATTTAAAAATTGTCTATCATTATATATAAAATTATATCTATTTAAACCTTGAAATACATTCAATAATATTGAAGTTATAACATCGTGAAGAAATATGTTAAAACATTGCCTTCCATTTTCAGTATACTTGTATACAGAGTGTTGCCAATGCCAAATGATTTTTATAGTGATCCAACATGAAACCACAGTTTTCAGCAGATTTTTGTGGATTTTAAATGTTCCTGAGCAAGCCTGGAAAAACAATGTTTGCCTCGATAAAATGCCTCCAGCACCAAATACTATCTGTACATTTTATACAGCCCATCAGGTTTTTTTCCCCCAAAATGCTTCCGGGATATTAATGTTGCCTCTAACCGCTGGACCGATTGCGCAGTCGTGCACTTCTTCCAGCCCCGTTCCCGAGAACAAATACTTAATGCAAAACAGATGTGGTATAACAAAAGAAAGAAGAATACAAGGATATCAAAATGATACCATTTGTTTGATTCAAAGACTATTGCATATAAAAATTGATAGAAAGTGTGGCTATGCAAATTTAGCTCAAAAAAGTGCTGAGAGGATGATTATAAGTAATGTATTCAGGCGGTTCACACATTCAATAGAGCACTAATCTTTTACACAAGAACCGTAATAGCGCCCTTTATTTGATTACACAAAAAAACACTAAAGATGGAAATCTCTATCTTTGGCATTCTAACGATGGGAATATCAAAGACGGAGATGCCCGTCTTTGGTGCTCAAATTGTTGGTGATTGGTACCGTTTGGGGAATCAAACTTTTACTTACTCTTATTGGAAGAAGTGACAATTTCTCTTCAAGCCAAACCCACGAAAGTATGTATATAAAAGCAGTGTTGGAAGCAAATAGTGCTGTGACGTCAGCAGCTGCAATTACGCCCAATGCCCGCACGTACATATAGTTGGTAATGCCCCAGCAGATGGCAAATGGAAAGGTCAATTTCAGCCCTGACCATAGGGTCAGGCCACTGCTGCCATACACTGCTTGATCCTCACTAAAACAAAGAGGAAAATAAAATATGGTGTAGATAACTATATTTGGTGAACTTTTAAAATTTTCAATCAAAATTCTTTAAATAACAATAAAAATAGTAAAATAAATTAAACATGTAATACACAACAATAAATTGTAGATTAATGATTATAGTAATATTAAATTATAATAAAATAATTATATAATACAGTATATATACAATATAAATAATAATTTTATGAAAAATATTGTACACAAATAAAAATATACATATGCAGGCCTCAGCATAAACACTTTAATCGACTCCTTTGTGGCCTGTTGAAAAAACATGTTTTGGCTCTCAATTCATGTGACAGCGAGGGGACTGCAAGCAGGCAATCCCTGTTACAAGAGGTATTAAGGAAATTGAACTATAGCAATTGTAATGGTTAAATAAGTATTTGTCAATGCATATAAGTTATATTTGATGTTAAGTTTCTCTTTACTTTGTTTTGTGCCTACTATAAATTGCGTAAAATTATTTTAATATGCAGGCCTCTGTATAAACAATTTAATCGACTCCTTTGTGGCCTGTTGTTTTGGCTTTCACCGCACATGACAGTAAGGGGACTGCAAGCAGACAGTCCCTGTTACAAGAGGTGGTACAAACTAAATATTAATTGAACTATATCAATTGTACAGTAATAGTTGAAATCAATATTTGTCAATGCATGTAAGTTGTATTTGATGTTAAGTTTCTCTTTACTTTGTTTTGTGCATACTATCAATGGTGTAAAATTATCTTAGTACACCAGTCTTGGTATAAACAATTTAATCAATACCTTTGTGGCCTGTTGTTTTGGCTTTCACCTCACATGACAGTGAGGGGACTGCAAGCAGACAGTCCCTGTTACAAGAGGTGGCACAAACTAAAGAAATTGAACTATAGCAATTGTAATGGTTAAATAAATATTTATCAATGCTTTTTTAAGTTATATTTGATGTTGTGTTTTCTGTTTACTTTGTGCGTGTATACTATAAATGGGTGTAAAAGTATGTTATGCAGGCCTCGGTATAAACAATTTAATCAACTCATTTGTGGCCTGCTGTTTTGGCTTTCACCTCACATGACAGTGAGGGGACTGCAAGCAGACAGTCCCTGTTACAAGAGGTGGTACAAACTAAAAGGAAATTGAACTATAGCAATTGTAATGGTTAAATAAATATTTATCAATGCTTTTTTAAGTTATATTTGATGTTGTGTTTTCTGTTTACTTTCTGCGTGCATACTATAAATGGTGTGAAAGTATGTTATGCAGGCCTCGGAATAAACAATTTAATCAACTCCTTTGTGGCCTGTTACAAAAAACATGTTTTGGCATTCACCTCACATAACAGTGAGGGGACTGCAAGCAGGCAATCCCTGTTGCAAGAGGTGGTACAAACTAAAAGGAAATTGAACTATGCAATTGTAATAGTTGAAATCAGTATTTGTCAATGCATTTAAGTTTTTATACTCCTGAAAACATGACTGTCTCCCAGGATTTCCTCCTGCACTCCTGTATTATAGCAAGCAAGCTAAAACCTCCTGGAAACTCATCTTCCACAAGTTCATGATGTTTGCATGTTTTTACAAATGTATTATCAAATGTCACATTAAAAAAATTGTGTTAAGAAAACTCATTTAACCAGATCTCTTCGGACCTTTATAGTCCTACTATGATGAAAGATTAGTTTGATGAAAGGCAATCATATAACTTCCTGTCACTGTGTAAAAATTGGTTTTTGTTTTACAGTATATATCCCGACTTTTGTGAATTTTTATTTTTGTAACATTTTTATTTTTTAAATCATGGTGCTCTGGAGAGGTCTTCCGATTTTATACATTCAATTTTTTCTTTCTTACAAGTTTTAAATTTTTACATTAATCCACAGACTTTTTGGTATTTTTGTTTTGCTTTATGTTGTGGAATTACTTTATGAATGTTATCTAAGAAATTAGACCGAATACTGCACCAAATCGTACTCCAAAAGCAGTGGTTCCCAACCTTTTTGCATTCATGGACCCCTCCGGACATGGCAAAATCTTCAGGGAACCCCATGTCCAAATAGTACTCATTGTCCATCCGAACAATAAGATTAGGCCTACAGATAGAAGATGATTGATTGAACAGTGGCGAATCATAAAATTCAAAATAGAAACCACAAAATTTGTTTGTCAGCCACTTCTAGATGGCCGGAAATGACACTGTCAGACTCAAAATTTTAAGGTAATTTTTTTTATCCCCATCCCCATTTAATTTTGAATGTGTAAAATTTAGGGCGAATCATGCTTGACATTCCGCCAATAAGATTATAGATAGAAGATGACTTGCCAAATTACGATGTCTTGGATCTTGGAATTCAAAATAGACAGGAGGGGAGAGGGGTACTGACAGTCAATTTTACAGATAGGGGATTTACACTACCTCAGCCCCACCCTGGTTGGGGCTTAAGTAGGAAATTTTTATGTAAATGGCACTTGTAGATGGCTGGAAATGACACTGTCAGGCTCATAATTAAAATGTAATATTCTGTTATCCCACATTTACTTTTAATTTTTCCAAATTTAGGGCTCCCTCCTGATTTTTAAACTTTTCAATATTTAGATAAAAGCAATACAAGAGAATACATGAAAACAGCATGTACATTACCTGAGGATTGCCACTATCAAGTGGCTCTCCTATAAAACATCTTTACAGAGAATACAAACAAAATTATTTTAAAAGAATCAATCAGATCACCAATAAAATATTGGAATTAAAATATAATGGCAATTAAAAGTAATTTCCAGTAAACAAAGTCATGTCTGTCAAAGGTATTTCATTATTGTCAAGGTATTATCACACTTAAGACAAGAAAAAATAATGGAATCATGGAAGAGAGTGGACCCCAGTTTGGGAACCACTGCTCTAAAGAACCCATTGCAATTCAGCACAATGACGCTGCAAGTTATGGGTTATTCTCCTGCAGTTCTTCTACCACCCTTGTTAAATTATCCTGGGTTCTTTTTGGATGCAGCTAGCACATCAGTTGTGGCTTGGACTCCCAATATTGAGGTCAGGGTTTCGAAACTCTTGCTGTAAAAGTCGCTTGTGTCCTTGGGCAAGGCATTTTGTCTATGTTTGGTCTCTCTCTACCCATAAGTATAAATGGGCAACTGGTGGGATATTGTGGCACTGACTCTACTAGTTTCATGCACTAAGTACATGCTCACAATTACCTACTGTATACTCCTCAGGGAGCAAAGAAAGTTGCACTTTTTGCTGGTTTGCTGTAGTACTGTATGTTACCCAGAGGTAATAACCACTCAGCGTATTTGATCATTGATTTGTACATAAATCTTTGGCATTATTATTATTGATAGTGTTTTGTCTTTTTACATTTTCATTTCCTGATCATTTTATAGAAAAGTGATTTGATTAAAAACTACAGTTGATCAATGGAATATTACAAATTGGTTCAACTCACTTGTAGACAGATTTCAGTCCTGCTTGGCGTTTCTCTTTTGAAAAGAGTACAACGCCCAGTAGGTAGCCTGGGTAACAGACCAGCATCCATGTCGTTGAGAACCATATTGTAAAAAATGGAGCATCAAATGTATCGGAATATGTGCTTTTGGTGAACTGCGTTGAACCGACCCAGGACAAGCCAATCCCAAGTACAATTATGAAACCCAAGACAGTCTTTTTTATGCTCGAGCGTTCACTGACAAACACTTCAGTCTGGTCTGGTTCAATCAAATTGATATCCACTAAAAATTATAAAAATAGAAGTGCAAGGAGTTAAATTTAACATGTAACTGTTTGAATTTAAGTCTGAAAAACCATCATTCACTATAACTTAGCAAGGAAATTTGGTTCATTAATATTGCTTGAAGCTACTATAACTTGCTTCATATCTACATACATATATATCTGTCTCTTATACACATCTAGATGTGTATAAGAGACAGGTATTTGATGTTAAGTTTCTCTTTACTTTGTTTTGTGCATACTATCAATGGTGTAAAATTATCTTAGTACACCAGTCTTGGTATAAACAATTTAATCAATACCTTTGTGGCCTGTTGCAGTCTCCCAAGCCTGTCTCTTATACACATCTTGAACTATTCAAACATTGAATATTATGTTAACAATCAATTCACACAACTAGTAAATAGATAGTATATTTGTTAGGAACTATGAAAACAAACATGCAGGTTTTAATGGGCATGCATTGGGAGGTATGAGGAAATGCAATGTTTAGCACATGACCATCTCATGCACAATGTCAACAACCATCATTGATTTTTTGAGGTCATAATGTACATGTTTTCTCCCACTTTACTATATAAATTTCAATAATAATATATTTAATAATAATAATAATAATAATAATATAATAATAGTAATAATAATAATCACTGATGCAGATGACGATGATGATGATAATGCTAATAATACCAGTAATCTTGAATGTATCTATTCTATGCCAGGAACTTACAAGTCACCACCTAGTAGTGCTATCTATACAATTATTATTCTTTCCTCACAATGTCAGAAATGACATGCAATTCACTGCCAGACTGACTGGTTCTTGTAGATTCACATCACTTTATGTTATGTTAACGATTCAATAAAAATATAGTCAAACTCTTTAAGTATACTATGCAGATAAATATATTCAACAGTCATTCAAAGTGGTAGGAGGATGAAAAGTGAACATAATTGGGTACTGGATATAAAATGGTCTGATATTATTCGATTTATAGATGGCTACTTTTATAGGTGTAGTATTTTATGCTAGTTTAATACTGTATTATAACATCTTCCCCTTTAGATTAATTAGATAGAGATATTCATGGGAATATCCATCATTACTGATTGATATGTTGTTATGGTCTTTACAAATTTATAACCTTTAACTATTTATGCTTTATGTTAATATTAATTATTCTATTCTATTGTAGAACTGTTTAATTAATAATAAAACAAGCACAATTTGGTGTAAACTTACTATGAGCTTTCGTCTATGTTCTCAACATGACTTCCTCAGCCTATATTCTACAATAATTATAAGCAAACCAGAAGAAACTATTCGAATATTCTATTCTAGTTTAATAAAATAAAAAAAGGGATTAATATAGTGCTATTGTTACGCATCAGGCTACGCTCATGCTATTATCATTCCACAGTGTTCATGACCACCGTATTTTTGACATTCTAAGTAATTTTCAGTTATTTTTGTGTGTCTAACTTGCTCCCACGGGGGCTGTAGACACTTAGTTATCATCTCACTTGTAAGATGTGGGTGTAAATCTGGTTTGGGAGTTCAAAGGAATTATGGGATACCATTTGCATCATAAGCTAAAGATAGAAATTAACAGTCTCCCAAGCATAAATCAAGCCTCCACATAGAAAGTACCAAAAAAAAAAAAAAAGAAGAATATGTCAATCAGTAGATACATGCTGACAATGGAAGCCTATTTCTTACATAGTCTTTCCTGTACTGTTGTTTAGACTTGTTTTGGTTGTTGGACCTGAACTTGATTTGATGAGACAAAAATGTTCGGATACTCACTGTCTCTGTTTCTTAAGTAAAAATGTGAGTTTAAATTGATGAATTAGTTACAGTACCCTATGATGATGAAGGCAAAGTTCAAAGTGAATCCTGTATCTTTAAAGTTTCACTATTTATAGTACACCTCGTTTCTTCGGGGTATAATACCTCCTTTCCTGTTACAAAACTGAGATTGGGGTCACCAGTGTTTACTGTATAATATTCTATTTATAGATGGTTAAGGTGTAGTATTTTATACTATTTTAATACGCTATTATAACACATTTGTTTTTTAATTGCAGTTTCACACAAAAACAAACAAAACAGTACATATAATAATCTTCAAATCTACAACCAGTAGTAAAATAATGCACAATTTCAAAAATGGTTATTTAGTAAAGGCAAGATACATACTGTAGGTCAAAAAAAAAACTTCATAAAAATACCTATCCTAATTTTCTTTTTGTATTATAGTCACTTCTCACCCTGGGTTACTGGTGAGGGTTAGCAGTGTAATGAAATACATGTTAGCGCATAGAGACAGTACTATGCGACTTCTAAGTCCACTGATTGATTGATTGCTTGATTGATTGATGATAACCATACTCAAACTCAAGAATTCATATTAAAGTTTGAAGACTTATATAAATGATGTATTACTTACTTTTTTGATGAAAGGAGAGGATGATGATAAATGATGATCAACATGCAATTGGTTAATAACACCCTAAAATGCTGCAAAAAATAACGCTTGTCTACATTAGCTTTTGTTTAATAAATTGCAAAGTTGATGAGTATTCTGCAAAAAAAAAAAAGATTGATATGAACTTGAAATGAATGCAATACCTCATGCTGTTATTAAGTGTGTTTATACATTTAAGCAGAGGTGTCCCTGATCTAAGTTTACCAGATACAATTTCTGCTAAGCTCATCCCTTGAGTACTGTTGTTAATGTCCAGAAACAGTTTGGCGCAGTGGGAACGCTTGGGTTTCCCAACCTCGAGGTCGGGGGTTTCAATCCCTCGCTGTGCATTTCGCTTGTGTCCTTCAGCAAGGCACTTTTATCTGTGTTCCTTTTCTCCACCCAGGAGTATAAATGGGTACCTGGTGAGGTTGCCTGCTACTGCACCAATATGGCAGCAACACTTAAGGAATAGGTGCTATACAAATACCTAAAACCAAGTAAATAATGTCAACACATAAATGTGCACGCTTGTGGGGCAACACATGTGTTTATAAGTCAATCACATATTACCCCTGACACTGTTCTGATTGGTCAGTTTGTTTTATTTGATTGACACTCCAGTGCATCCATGGCATCCATGGTTGATGTGTACAACATGGTTCACTTAAAAATTCGATCCTTGACAAAGTATGAAATAAATGATGACGGTTATTCAACCCCCAGCCAAATCCGGCCCAGCCTAAGATTTTGATTCGGCAAATGCAACATTGCTAAAATAAATCATTTTCCAGCCCATTTTTATAAAACGTTTTTCTGTTTATAGAAACACCACCTACTGTAGGCACCCCTCTAGCATTGTTTACAAGAGTGTGGCTTTTTCTGAGTGTAGCTCACTGTATTTAGTCTTGTAGGGTACTGACATCGGGAGAGGGAGACTAATGGATTAAATTGGCCGCTAATATGATTCGATGTACAGTATACCATTTGCGGCACCGGCAGGCTCGGGGAATGTATTCTGTTGAAAACACTGCTTTGAAAACACTGCTTTGAAACTAATTTTTGAAAGTGCCATTTTCAGGAAACTAGAGGTATCTACATTAACAATTTGCTCACCTCAACCCAAACCACTGGTGAGTGGATATTTTTGTGGTAGGATGATTTCTTGACAGAACCGGAGTAGGGTAGGAGAACCGGAGTGCAATTTTTTTTTTTTTTTTTTTTTCCAAAATTCTAAAATAAGATACAGGTAGAGAAGAAAAGAAAATTATATTCAAATTTAAGCCTGGGAGTGCCATTTCCCACCATCTAGTGCTATAACCATGGTGGGGCTGAGGTGGTACATTTTCTTCCCTGGCCCATTCTACAGTATTTCAAATCCACCACTATAAAATAAAATGGGTGGGGCTAACATAGAAAAAATGCACAATTTATGTCGGCCCACCGCTGGTCACAACAAATTGGAACTGGCTCCCCAGTTTAAAAAGGTTGGTATATCCGGGATTTAGATGTTTCCCTCTAGTTAAATATCCCCCCAATTAAAGTCCACCCCAACTTAGAGACCACTTGTGACCCTAATGAAAACATATCATATCATCGATAATGATAAAGCTTGTCCAGATGTGGTCTTCAATTGAACTGAGAGTAATTAACATTTAAATAAACAGGATCACTACCCTGAACCTTTATTATATTTTGACAACCAATTCAAGATGAACTGTAGCCACCTTCGCTAAGGGTCATGATCATTTGGCTCGTACTTATTATAAATTGAGTCTAGTTCAAACGTTAAAAAAAATAATATCATTTACAATTATATTATTATAATATATTATATTAGCTACCAGCAGTATATGGTATACGATAGCCTGATAGGATACATTTGATTTAATAATAGTAAGGAAAAGAAAACTTTGTTATGTTGTAGAACTGATTTTTCTAAGACAAAGTACAGCAGTTGTTTTGACAAAAATCTGGGGAACAATGAATGAGATACCGTACTCGCGCGAATAAGCGCCCCGTTTGAATAAGCGCCCCTCTCAAATAACCGCCCCTCCTAATGTGAAAATTTCCTTAAGCGCCCCGTTTGAATAAGCGCAAAGATAATATCATAAGATTTTCTTTTTAGCAAGTCAATAATCCAATCAATTCTGGGACTGTGGTCTTGGCATGATTGGAATCGCATTCTTCTGATGAGGATATTTCTCTAGGACAGATGAGAGCCCGATCCCTACACAGACAGTATATTTTCAACTTTCCTCTTCTTACATATTTGTCAGCCGATGGCTAACAAGCTAACCACTACTAATTGCATCTGCTATTTTGCTGTTATGTAAATATTCACAGCATTCTTGTCATGAGCCATGTTCTCTGGACGATTATCTTTTCCGCCTTACCACCATTCGTAATGTCCTTGTATAATCTTTTTCCATTCAAAAAGTGCCTCTTGAATTTAATAAGTTCCCATAAGAACCCCTCGATTTTCATCAATTTCCACTTTGTTTTCATAAGCGCCCCGTTTAAATAAGTGCACCGTTTGAATAAGCGCCCCTCAGAAAGTGCAAAAATATTTTAAGTGCCCGCAGGCTTATTCGCGCGAGTATGGTACTGATTTTTGATTATTTAATAACAAATGGGGGAAAAGGGTGTAAAAAAGGGTGGTTACGCCCCTTTTCCCCCAAGTTTTTAAATATTTAAAAATCTGTATCTTATTCACCATTCCCCAGATTTTCATCAGGCAACTTTTTTCTGTCTTAAGCTTTGTCTGCACTATCAAATTTCATCAAAAAAGCATCACATAAAATTGGACGGAACATGAAAGTTGAACACGTTCAACTTTTTTTTATACAATTTGATATGTGATGACATGACGACGGTCATCGTACCTATATATGGATATATCACATATTTTTGTCACATAAAATTTGATATTTTTTTGAATGATTTTATTTTATTTAACCAGTAGAAATTTTTTACTAACCTGCAACGTTTCCGATGCACTTCGGCTGTCCTTTCTCAACCACTGATTCTAATGCTAGTCAACACCGCTATATACGCGGTCCAAGATTGGAATAACATAAATGTTCTTCATAGTGAATTTAAGGTCTTTCAAAGACAAGCTAAAGAAAGCATTTGGATCAGGAAAACCAAGCAAGTAATGATCAGGGACACTGGATCACATGAACTTTCTCACCTTTATGATAACCTATTGATTCCCATGAACATCAGGTGCAGGGCGCAGGTCTAAGACCAAGAAAACTACCTTGCCAATTGAGGGCGTACTACACCCTGTATGGCGGTGTTGACCAGCATTAGAATCAATGCTTGAGAAAAGATAGCCGAAGTGCATCTGAAACGTAGCAGGTTTGTAACAAGTTTCTACTGGTTAAACAAAAGAAAATCATTCAAAAAAATATTTATGAAACCAGATGAATTTATTCAAATAAAATTTGATAGTTTAAGCATTGTTAGAATTGTTTATTAAAATATAAAAAGAACTGGGTATAACAAGGAAAATTAAGGTAAGGAAAAAAGAAAGGAAATGGGACAGGAGAAAGACAAAAAAGAAATAAATAGAACACTCTGAAATGAGAAGAAAGAAAAAAAAAACATGGATTGAAAAGAAATAATGAATTAAAATACTAGAAAGAAAATGAAAGAATTAAAAGGAATAAGAAAAAAAATGAATAGATAGTAAAGGAATAAGAAAGGAAAAAAAATAAGAAAGAAAATGAAAACTTGAAAAGGAATAAAAAAGAATACGAAATACTGAAATGAATAATAAAGAAAAACAACTGAAGAAAAGAAGGAAAAGAAAAGAATTGAAACTACATAGAAAGAAAACGAAAGGCTGAAAAGGAATAGAACAGAAGAAAGAAAGTGTAAGGTATCAAAAATGGAAAGAAAGATTGAAATGAATTAAACTAGAAAGAAAACAAAAGATTGAAAAGGAATAAGAAAGAAAACGAAAGATTGAAAAGTAATAAGATAGAAAACGGAAGACTAAAAAGTAATAAGAAAGAAAGCGAAAGATTGAAAAGGAATAAGAAAGAAAAAGGAATATAAAGAAAAATAACTAAAGGAAAGGAAAGGAATAACAAAGAATAGAGAAAGTATATAGAAATTAAATGCAAGGCTGAAAAGGGATAGAACTAAAAAGAAAAGAGGAATACAAGGTATAGCAATAAAAGCAAGAAACAAGTATAGAATAGTAGAATGAATAAAAGAGAGAAATATGGAAAAGGTATTGTATATAATTGCAATTAAATATTATGTTAATAAATATATTTATAACTGCAATTATAACATTATTATTTAATACTTTTCACTTGGTAATTTCAAAATTTAGCCTCAGTGTTTTGTATTTTTTAATATTTAATATAAAAATTAGTAAATACTTTTTCTTTTTGTCAAGAATCACTACGCCTCAGAATACAGTAGTTCGCTAGATAGACGGCGAAAAAGTGCTGTTTTATTATTTATTATAGTGTAGACAAAGCTTTTAGAAAAATCAGTTCTACAACACATCAAAACCTGTTTTTCCTCCGGAGCCAGATTTTAATCTTGATTGAGCGCATTTTGCTAAAAGTCTCAATACGGAATAAATGAATTTTTAAATAAAATAAGAAATTATGAAATAAAATTTGTGATACCTGTTCCAACACTGGAACCTGCTTCTGTAGTGTTAGGCATTCCTTCTTTCATATTAAAATCCGTATTGGCAATATACTTGGCACTCATCCTGCCTTTTTTTTCTGCAAATAAGAAGTTAAAGTATGTAACATGAGATCCACATCTAGGCTAGACAGAATTTTATTGCAGTAATTCAAGTCGAGTGGGTGAGAGGTAATGCAGGAGGTCACTATCTACAGTGCTATATTTAATATAATACTGCATACATAGATTCGAGTGGGTGAGAGGTAATGCAGGAGGTCACTATCTACAGTGCTATATTTAAAATATTACTGCATACATAGATTCCAGGCATCTGATTGGTTAAAAAGTGGGTAAAAACTTCAACCATCACTCCTATGGCGTAGTTTAAATGACAGTTTCCTGGAGAAAACATTATTATCACGTTAAATAATAGTACTTTTTTCCCTATCGCAATGTAATCTCTAGGCCCACTTACTTACTGTATACAAAACTTACACATAACTTATTCCATGTACGCCAGTGTATTCACCAAATTAGATCGTCAATTTGTGACGGTGCCATATCCAAATAATGCTATTTTGATTGCCAATCCTTAAAAATATTGTCTAAAAGCACAATTTGGGTCATACTCCAAGCCATAAAAACTTTCCCCATGAACCCTACCAGGGATTTATATTCTGGAACCCTGACCAAAGTTCAAGTTGGCCCCACGCTTCGGACCTTCCTGTCTGCCTCCTGTCAGCAAATTGCTGGTGCACAGTGCCATTGCCCTACATGAGCACAATTAATCACCGTAGACTTTTAAGATGATTGAAAATGTGTATGTATTAATTAGGGCCTAAGCTAAGGCTAGGTCTCGCATTTTGATGTATGATTTGCTTTTGACCTATTTTCCTTCAAATTTTGATTCATGTTCCGTATTTTTTTAGTTGTTAATTTTAGTTGTTAATTTAAATGCTGTTTTTTTATATATCATATAATTCAGCCATGTGCTGCAATGTATGCATTTTACTGGAAGACTGAATAAATACCTCAATATAAAGATACATCATGCTACCAAAAGTTTTCTTACAAAAATTGTAGTACAGTGTTCGCTCCTTTCCTATTTACTGTATTTAAGGTACATTTGACTATAGGTCCAGCCATCCAGACTGTCCAGTTATCAAATTTGCTGATGACACTGCAATTTTATGCCTTATCAAGCATGATAATGACAGCCATTAAACATCTGAAATTGAATATTTTGTCAGATATTGTAAAGATAATCTTGTTATCAATGTTTACCAAAGACTAAAGAAATGGTAAATTGATTTCCATACAAAATACAAAAAGGAAACTAGAAATATTGTAATTGATAATAATACAGTGGAGAATGTATCCAGTTATATTAGTACAGTACCTTGGAGTAAAATTTGATGACAAATTTCTCTGAGCACATAGAATTTGTCAGGAAGTAAATACTTGCATGTTTATTGCCCAGTGGCGGATCCAGGGAGGTTCAAACAAATCCCCTCTGTGAAGAAATTTAACAAAATACTAATGGGTCCTGGCTTACAAAAGGCATGATAACCTACCTAGGAGGTTGGCAGATCAAACAAACTAGGCTTAGCCTAACTAGCCTTCAATTAAATAAGTTCCACAAACACTGTTTTAGGTTTGACAAGTCGTAATAATTTATGTACGAAAGTGCGTTCATCTGGCCTATCGATCCATAGTGGAAAGACTAGTATCCAACTACTCAATATTGTTGGAATATAATATATTGCCTATGTCTTTTTTTTTTTTCTCTATGTATAGCCTAAGAATGAGATAAAATTACCTGACATTTTTGAACTTAAAAGGGCTTTCATTTTTGGGAACTTTCTAACCCCCTCTTTAAAATCCTGGATCAGTCCCTGTATGAAAATAAATGCATTCAATGTTAATACTAAAATCATTACCATGTTCTATTCATCTGTGATTTGTGGGGTATGGCGCTATTGCTTAACCGGTTGGGGAGATAATGTGTGTCAATGCGATAAAGAATTAGACTATTTGATCAGAAAAGTCAGTAGAATTTCAGACACATCTGCCTTCAAGTGACTCTCTATATCACGATAGGGTGACTGAGCTATTCCATCATATCCTGAATGATGAAAGACATCTGCTTCATGATAAGCTTCTTGGCTCCGTTAACCCTATGAGTGGTCATACAGTATGAGAGTACAGATGGCAAACACCAATAGATATCGTAACTCATTTATTGCTAAGGGTATAACAAACTTCAATGAATATCATAAAAGATAGATAATAATTATAATATTAGTAATAACAATAATGGTTTAATGGTTTACTTCGCATTCCTAGCTATATTCGCCAGTTGACTTTGTGATTTTGTATATGTAATGCCCAAAGAGCAACATTAAACCTACATACTTCCGCATCCAGTTTTATATAAAGAGCAACATTAAATGTACATACTTCCACATCTGGTTTTATACACCAAAAGGGTAACTTTCAAACAGTCAACCTAAAGTACGCTAAGATTTTAGGCACAGATGGTAAAAAACACAGTCAATTTTCATCAAACATAGTCAATTTTCGGTTTCTGAATGAGCTACAATAAGTCCCTGACCAATGCTATCTCATCTCATTTTACTGAGTTTCTAAATAATTTTATGCAACTGCTATAAAAAACACATGTACCTGAACTCAACGCTCTAATTGTCTATGTCTGTGAAGCATGCTTTGTAATACATAAAAAGTGATCTTACTACTGAATTTGTGACATTACGTAATAAAATAATTGAGCGGAGCAACATGCAACCTATCTCCTTTTAGTGGTTGCTTCAAGATTAATTGCAAGGTTCACATACTAGAGAGTAAGCAAGCGCGCCCCTAGTAATAATAATAATGGTAATTGATAAGAATAATAATAATTATTATTATTAATTATTATATTAATAATTATTATTATTGTTATAGCTGTAATTTTGCCCTACCTGACGTGGAAATGTACTGAATACTCAGTATGTGTGAAAACAACTGCAAAAATAATTGCAAGTTGTTCTCGGGTTGGACTTAAACCAACAATCTCCAGAGTCCTACCCAAGAAAAACTTGAGATTTATTTATTTGCAATTGTTTTCACACGTAGTGCGTATTCAGTACATTTCCACGTCAGGTAGAGCAAAATTACACCCTACTGTATACTTGATTCTCCTGAGGCAAATCCAGTTATTGTCTATTACATCATGACAATAACAATTACTACCTATTATTATGGTTCTTGTTATTATTAATAAAAATAATAATAAATAATATATGATCCTGTTAAATAGTTTCTCCTTTTTAAAATGTGTAACCCTTTTTTGTTCTCTTCATATTTCATTATCTTTAGATATTGTTCTATAATTTTAAATATTTTTGTGCTTTTGTCAATGGATTTTTATGTTGATACTTATATCCTTGATCAATATTAATGTGATTTTTTTTTAAATGTACTTTTGCGAGCTTTATAATTTCTTTGTTTTTATTGGAGACAATACATTTTATCTTGTATCCTGTAGCTCAATAGATGCTGATGCTATACTTACCGAGATACTGTATGGTTGGTTAACCGGCAAGGTATTACTAATTAGCTCACATGTCATTGTTAGGCAATATTTTTTTTTAATTTTGAAACTAATAAAGGGCAGTCTTTCGAATTCCGATCAGAATTTTCCCATGAAACATCTGACAACAAAATGCAGCATTAGTGGCGCTGAGAGGCCGGAGCATAAGGGGCAAGTACAGTACCCAGAGGCCGGTAGAGGCCTGGGATGCTAGGTAGAAAATTTTTAAAAATAAAATAAACAAATATATTGAATTAAGATATTAAAACAGAGGCGGTATAAAAGGAGGACCTCTCTCTCCCCTTCCAAACTAATTTTTTTTTTTTAATTTAACAAAAATTGAGAAATAAAAAAAATAGAATTCTACTTAAACTCTTAAAAAGTCTTAAGTGTGCAAATAAATAAGTTTCCATGATGTTTAATATAAAAATCATAGTTACCTACCTGAGAGATATGAAATGCGTGACTACACCAGTTGGGGGGTGGGGGTTGGGCACTGGTGTCCAGTCCAGAATCCCTGAATTCCAGTCACATATTCACCGGTTGGTTGTGACAATGAACGCGCAAGACTACTAGTTTCTACTAAGTGCGTGGTTGGTTGGGTTATTTTTGTTGGGAAAGAGAAATTTCTTGGTGAATTGATTCTCGAACAAGAACGAAAGCTCTCTAATGACTCAAGCTACTGCATGACCATTTTTATATCTTTTACTCAAACCAATTTCCTATAATTTTAAATTAAATACATTTGCCCCTGAATTTGTGATGATTTGTTATCACGCATAGACTTGTGCTAAATGCGTGACAAATTTATGATCACGCATGTGTTTCTGCAAAATGTGCGTTTCATCCAAAATCATTTTGAAATGCCGAGAGCATCCCACTCGATGCGAGACAGTTGGTAACTATGAAAAATGGCGCTGTACATTTAAATTAACTCGTACATTCTAGCAATTTATTAATTATTGCTGATTGCAAAATGGCATCAGCTCGTCGTGCCAAAAAGGTATGTTTTGTTGAAAAAGGTACCTTGCTTGTGAGTGGTTGAATCATTTTTAGTACTGTATGTACCAAGAGGACACGAAACTAGGGGGTGCTGCGTTATGGAGAGTAAAGTGTGACCAGAAATGGTCTGCCAGTTGGTTGTTACCATACGCCAGTGATGTTGGAGTACAGCAAGATGAAACTATTTATGTAATGCATGAATAAAGTTCGGGGTTTGTCGGGTAGTGAAATGATTATTGTACATTTTAAGTGCTCCCTCTATGCATAAGTGTAAGCTAAATTACGGGGATTAATTAGCGAAGATATGGAGAAAATTATTTCGAAGTTCCCTCTTTCCAAGAGGGGATGCAAATGCTTGTGAAAATGAAAACGCCGCGGTACGCATTTTCACAAAGGAATACACTCAGCTGGTTAGCTACACTTTCGAAAGAAATAAATTAAAATAAGAAAAAAAAATTAACTAAAGGGCCTAAGATTAAGAATAATTCAGTTGCAGACGTACCTTGTTTAAGTATTATATGCTAACTATATGCGACTCTTATAGCCCGAGCTAGGCAAGGCATTCATGTGCAAAGCAGTGGTGTTTGTTTATCCATGAAAAAAGCACGCCGGGAAAGTTTGCCTTACCAGGAAAAGGTGACGTAATCTAGCTTATGACGTATGCATGCTAACTATAGCGTGAGTGTGACGTCACCAAAAAATAAAAATTTTCTATATAACCAAAATATTAATAACTACAAGGTTTGTGGGCGTAAATTCCCTTAATACGAATTAAGGGTAGCGCCATCTCCTTGCCATACAAATTACAGCTCCCATTGACGTCTCAGTCGAGAAATACGGGTAGCTGAAGTTTTTCTCGCAAATCTGACTACAAAACCAAATTGAAATTCACGTTCCACTTCTGACTGAGTTGTGCTTCGCACACGCCGCTGAGGGCGGCGTTCCGGGAACCCTGCGTCTAGACATAGGCTTTTCTTTTTCCATCTTGAATTCAGAGGTCAAAAACATTTTTCAATTTTTTTTCATATAGTGGTGTAGACTAGTCATTTTTCAAGAACATTTTGATACGACGCCCTGTTATGGAGTTATGATTTTTTGAATAACATGATGTCAGAAAATCAGCCCAAAAGCTTATCTTATTTCTGTTGGTTACGCTCCGCTGATTTGCAATGTTTGTCAGTATTTAGTATTTCAGTATTTCAGTATTTATTGGAACTCACTTTTAGATCAGTGGCACACACTGAGAAAATTAAAGATAAAGAGATTTAAAAAAACCAACTTAATTAACAAATTAATATAAATGTAAAATTAAACAATAAGCTTAACGATGTAAAAAAAAATAAATAAAATAAAAAAAAAAAATTTTTTTTATTTAAAAAAAGAATCAAATTCAAATATGCGGTAAGCAGAGTAATTATCGAACAGAGTATCCCCAAACTGTAGATTACCCAAAATTAATTACATGAAGTGAAATTCAAAGTGCAAATCATAACAAAGTTCGCAACAAAAGAAAAAGTTAAAAAGAAACAAATGAGATCAAAGAATGAAACACAGAATTTAACAAAGTAAAAACAAAAAACAAAAAAAAAAAGAACAACTTTAGGATAATAAAAAAATAAAGTACTTATCTAAGTTTAAAATGTACTGTATATTAAAACATAAAACCACAATACGAAGTAAGCAAATTTTCTACAGTATTTTTACATTTAGTAATTATTCTTCAGTTCAAATTTGGGGGGGTTTTCTTGTAAAAGTCTGTTCGGGCTTCCAAATTGCCTTCTGTAAATATGTTTTGCAGCAGGTGTCAAATATTTTTCCTAAAGTCGGGTTTACATTGTATAAATTATCCAGTAACAGGTGTATTCTCATTTCCGAGCTACCTTCATCAAATGATTTCCAAAAAGAATGAAATCACTGAAATTAATCACTTCAAGATGCTACCGATTCGTGAAAAAGGCCGTAGTACTAGGCCTAGGGCCTACAGTAGTAACCTATTATAGGCCTAGGCCATAAGCTAAGAGGCCAAGACAAGGTCAAATAGGCCTAGTGCCAGGCCTAGGCTAGCCTATTTATAATATGATCTTGCTTGGCACAATTGTCTTAATTTTACCTGCTTTTACTT